TACCACTAAGGAAGTACTGAAACTTAAAATTTAAAACACATTACCACTTATATTAGCATCCTGCAAAATACTTAGTTAGGTACAACTCTAACAAAATCTAACAAGATCTATATGAGGACACCTATAAAACCTTAATGAAAGATACCATAGAACAACTTAATAAATGAAGAGGTGTTTCATATTCATGGATAGGAAGACTCAATATTGTCAAGATGTTAGTTTGCCCTAAACTAATATATGGATTCAGTGCAATTCCAATCAAAATCCCAGCAAATCATTCTGTGGCTATCAACAAATTGATTCTAACGTGTTTTTTTAATTGAGAAATACTTTTACTTTTTTTTAAAATTTTTTTTAATGTTTATTTTTGAGAGAGACAGAGCATGAGTGAGGGAAAGGCAGAGAGGGAGACAGAATCTGAAGCAGGCTCTAGGCTCTGAGCTGTCAGCACAGAGCCTGATGTGGGGCTTGAACGCACAAACCACGAGATCATGACCCGGAAGCTTAACTGACAGAGCCACCCAGCATCTGTACAAATTGATTCTCAAGTGTTGTTGTTTTTTTTTTTTAATTGAGAAATACTTTTACTTTTGTTTTGTTTTGTTTTCTAATTTTTCTTTTAAGTAAGCTCTATACCCAATATGGGGCTTGAACTTATGACCCCGAGATCAAGACTGGCATGTTCCACCGACTAAGCCAGACAGGTGATCCTGATTGCAAAGTTTATATGGAGAAGCAAAAGACCCAGAATTGCCAACTCAATGTTGAAGGAGAACAAAGTTGGAGGAGTCTCACTACCTGACTCCAAGACTTACTATAAAGCTACAGTAACCAAACAGTGTGGTATTGATGAAAGAATAAACAAATAGATCAGTGGAAAAGAATAGAGAGCCTAGAAATAGGCCCACATATATACAGTCCACTGATCTTTGACAAAGGAAAAGACAATCTTTTCAAAAAGTGGTGCTGGAACTGGATATCCATATGCAAAATAAAACAAATCTAAACAAAGACTTTATACCTTTCACAAAAATTAACTCAAAATGGATCACAGATCTAAATGTAAAATGCAAAACTATAAAACTCCTACAAAATAACAGAGGAGAAAACTGAGATGGCCTTGTGAATGGCAATGACTTTTTAAGTACAGCACCAAAGGCATAATCCATGAAAGAAATGATTGCTAAGCTGGACTTCATTAATATAAAAAAAACTTCTGCTCTGCAAAAGGCAATGTCCAAAGAATAAGAAAGCAAGTTACAGACTGGGAGAAAATATTTGCAAAAGACAGCTGATAAAGGTCTGTTTTCCAAAATACACAAAGTACTCTTAAATTGCAACAATAAGAAAACAACTCAATTTAAAAATGGGCCAAAGACCTTAATAGACACCTTATTAAAGAAGATAGAGAGGCAAGGAAGCATGTGAAAAGATGTTCAGCATTGCAAACTAAAATGAGATACCATTACACACCTGTTAGAATGGCCAAAATCCGGGGTGGCTGGTCCGACTTTGGCTCAGGTCATGATCTCGAGGTCCGTGAGTTCGAGCCCCGCGTCGGGCTCTGTGCTGATAGCTCAGAGCCTGGAGCCTGTTTCGGATTCTGTGTCTCCCTCTCTCTCTGCCCCTCCCCTATTCATGCTCTGTCTCTGTCTCAAAAATAAATAAACATTAAAAAAAAAAATTAAAAAATAAAAAAAGAATGGCCAAAATCCACAACACTGACCATACCAAATACTGAAGAGGATGTAGAAAACAGGAACACTAATTCATTGCCAGTGGGAATGCAAAATGGTACAGCCACTTTGGAAAACAGTTTGGCAGTTTCTTTTCTTTTTTTTTTAAGTTTATTTATTTTGAGAGAGAGAGAGAGAGGCAGAGAGAGAGGGAGAGAATCCCAAGCAGGCTCTGCACTGTTAGCTCAGAACCCAACTCAGAACTCAAACTCACCAACTGTCCGTGAGATCATTAGTTGAGCCAAAATCAAAAGTCAGATGCCACCCATGCACGCCTTGGCAATTTCTTATAAAACTAACCTTGCTACCATGTATTTTCTTTTGCACAATTTGCCACCCTAGAAACTCATTTCTTTTGGTATTATTTCTCTAAAAATGTATTTTCTTTTGTTAAGATGTTATATAAGCTCAAGTTCTAACCACCCCTTTGAGTTACTCATGTCTGAATACTCCCACGTATATTTGTAATGCACTTTTTTAAAAATATAATTTATTGTCAAATTGTGTAATGTACATGTTAATACACTTGTCTTTCTTTTTCTCTTAAGCTATCTTTTGTTAATCTAATTTACAAGGCTCCAACTGAGAACTTGATAGGCAGAGGAAAAAAAGACATTTTTCCTTCTGCTTAAGAGGCTCTTTATAAGAGGATTTGTTGAAATATAGGATTACTAGCAACAAACCATCTTCAAAATGTCTAAATAACTTCACTCGATCACTCACAAGCCCAGTGACCTTGATTTCCCTTCATACCTTTTAATTTCAGAAATAGGTTTCAACTGGTTGCTGGACAACACACAACATGGCCATTCAAAACTTATGGGAGGTTCCACAACTTCAATGCAGCTGATGGCTAAGATCCAAAAAAAGGTAACAGGTGAATTCATCAAGGCATCTGGCGGATGTGGCAGAAGAAGGCTTCAGGAATCTAGGTGTGGCCACCTTTATTTCTGACACAATACTGCAGATGGCTCAGAACTTCTTAGTGATAATGAGCACAAAGGGGCTGCAGATGACCTAACCCAACTTCCTCAATTAGAGATGTGAATACCAGGGCCCTTGTGAAAATACTTTTTCCTAATGTTCTAAAGCCTCAGTAAGCAAGTTCATGTTTGAGTGATCAGAACCCAGAATTCTTGTCTCACAAGATTTTCTACTTTTTATTTTCCCAAAGCTTTGAGACACTTAGGAGAAGGCACAGAAAAGAGAAGTCTTTAATAAGCTTCAGTAAAGGGGCGCCCGAGTGGCTCAATCGGTTAAGCCTCTGACTTCAGCTCAGGTCATAATCTCTCGGTTCCAGCCCTGCATCAGGCTCTGTGCAGACAGCTCAGAGCCTGGACCCTGCTTCAGACTCTGTCTCCTTCTCGCTCTCTGCCCCTCCCCCACTCACATTGTCTCTCTCTCTCCCTCAAAATGAACATTAAAAAAAATTAAAACTTCAGCAGAAAACGAGTCTGCTGGCAACATCTGACTGGGATCTTCATGTAGCTAGAAATGACTGGCAGATGTAAAGGCAGTTGTGAGGCTGCCACCCCAAAGGCAATCCATCTGGGCTTCCTGAATGAGGAGGCAGTCTTCAGGTTCTATTCAACGATAATATCCTGGGAGGTTTTCATTAGATAGGGACTGTTAATTTTGGCTTTGGGCTAGTCTATTCCCATCTCTGATCAGGTTTCCTCATTTGTACTATACAGATAAATGCTTTTTAATATTATGATTCTATGGAATGCCAGAATTAAGCTCAGTAATATTAGAGAATGTAAAATGAGAAGTAAAAGAATTATACCGAGCAAGTTTTTTTTTTTTAAGTTTACTTATTTTGAGAGAGAGAGAGAAAGAGCCCAAGTGGAGGAGAGAAAGAAAGGGAGGGAGGGAGAGAGAGAGAGAGAGAGAGAGAGAGAGAGAGAGAGAGAGAGAGAGAGAGAGAGAGAGAGAGAGAGAATCTCAAGCAGGCTCTGTGCTGTCAGCACAGAGCCAGATGCGGGGCTTGAACTCACAAACCATGAGATCATGACCTGAGCTGAGACCAAGAGTCAGACGCTTAATCAATTGAGCCACCCAGGCATCTCTGAGCAAGAATTTTTAACATATGAAATGAAAGGAAAGGGTTGTTTCTTGGTTTTTTTTTATCCTTAGCTTTTTAAAAAAAGAAAAACAAATCATTATATTAGTTTGCTAGGGCTACGATAACAAAACACCACAGACCGGGTGGCTAAACCAACAGAAATCTTACAGTTCTGGAGAGCAGGAGTCTTGGTAGGATGGCTTCTTCTGAGGCTTCTCTCCTTGGTTTACAGATGACTGCCTTTTTGCTGTTCCTCACATGGTCATTACTTTGTGTGTACGTCCCTGGTCTTTTATCTCAAATTTCCTCTTCTTATAAGGAACCCAGTCAGACTGAATTAGAGCCCACCCTAAAAGTCTCATTCTAACTTAATCACTTCTTTAAAGGCCTTATCTCCAAGTACAGTCACATTCTGAGGTACTGGGGTTAGGAATTCAACAAATGAGTTTGGAGCATGCAGTTCAGCCCGTAACAACCAACTATTCTAATGTTCTCATTTTAAAAGCTTTTATTTATTTTTAAGTAATTTCTACACCCAATGTGGGGTTCGAACTCATGATCCCAAGATCAAGAGTCACGTGCTCCTCAGACTGAGTCAGCAAGGCATCCCTAATGTTCACTGTAAAATGCTGTGACCAAATGCATACTTCTGGGGAGAAATTATTTTATTTGAGGACATTATTACATACTTTAAAAAGAAGATACATACTATAATTACTTGAATTACATTAATAATATTTTACTATAGGTAACATACCTAGAAATCTAGTTAAAATGAAAAACTTTTTGTTTCATTAGTCTTCACAAATAGTATTATTAAGTAGTTTATGTGATTTCTGTGAAAATGCACTGTAGATGATCTTCTTTTAAAAAAGTATATAAAAATCTAAAATATCATTCAGATTTCATTAGTATACAATCCAAAACTGAAAAGTTTAAAAGAGATTAGTCTCCTTTTATAAGGGAAAAAGTGTTGAAAAGAGCTAATTTTACTGCTGGGACCTGATTAGTTGCTCATAATAACTTTCCTAGAAAATAGTGAATGAAATATAGAGCTCAGAGGGCAAAACTCACTAAATACAAAAGGCAGACTGTCTTAGAATTCCATGTAATGAAACTTATGTTAGCTAGCTGTTTTAATTACAATTTCAAGTCTTATAGATACAGAAATTCTATTTTTTCCAGAACAAACATGCATATCCTTATAACATGACAGAGAAGAAAACAGACAGATTTTTAACTGTTGAGCCCTTTTACTTTTTAAGCTTGGCAGTCAACACTTTTTTTCCCTTTTCCTTCACAGCCTGGCATTCATCTGATTCATTAACTTCTCCAATTTGATTGCTAGGGCCATGTTTCCTTTAATCTTCAATTTCCCTGACATGAATGCCATTGTTGGTTTTAGTTTCCCTAAAATGAGAAAATGAGAGAAGGAAAAGCATCCATTAGTGCCCTTAGGGATATACCACTTCAAGAACACACATTATAAAAAGAATCTCCTTGAGTTCTATAAATCTTGGAAGCACACAAATTTCTATTCCATAATTTTTTTTTATCAGTACCTTGGGAATCCCAATTCCTAGGCTTAGATGTTAAAAATATATTATAGTATGAGAGAGAATGTAAAAACAACAATCAGCAAAAGATTATATCAAAAAGCTGAAGATGCAATATTTATATACAAGTTACAGTACATTAAAGGTACATCGCCCTCAGATGAATTATAGTAAACAAATCTACCTACTTTAGTTGATTTTCCAATCTACTAGTTCATTAAACTTTAGCATTTCAGGTTTATATTAAAAAAAATCAAATGTTGTAAATACATATGATATTCTTAAGAAATTATCATTAAAAATATAGGGTAGGGACAACAAAAGCGTTAGCAATATTTTAACCACAGAAATGCCAGGATGTAAAACCTGAGTATTAAAATGGAATTGTAGTTAATAACAACATAAAATAAACTGAAGCTCCACAGAGGGAGTAAACTTTTTGTTTGCTACTCTTATTCCAGTGTTAGTACAGGGTCTGGCACATAGTGGAGTTAATGAGGAAACTGAGGCTCTGAGAGGATTTTGACTTCCCCAATGTCACATAGCGTGTATATAATGGTATTGCAATTCAAAGCCAGGTGTTTCTGATTCTCATTTATAGTTTTCTGACCTATAGCATGCCAATTTATATATAGATCACATCTCCAGCAGGCACAATATATGTCTGGTACATTAGTAAACTTCTACTGGGCCACACACAGACAGGATCTTTGTGTGGGTTAATGTGTTTATATATATTGAGATATTAAATACTTTTAAATTCTTCTTTTTAAAAATTAGAAAACATATATTTATTTTAGAGAGAGCACGGACGCACAAGCTGGGAAGAGGGTCAGAGGGAGGAAGGGAGGGCAGGGGAAGAGG